GGTGTGGGGGAGGCAGGTTCACTCGAGGGGTTAGGGTCTGGAACGTACTGTCTGAGAGTGTGGGGTAGGCAGGTTCACTCGAGGGGTTAGGATCTGGAATGTACTGTCTGAGAATGTGGGGGAGGCAGGTTCACTCGAGGGGTTAGGGTCTGGAATGTACTGTCTGAGAGCGTGGGGGAGGCAGGTTCACTCGAAGCTCTTGAAAGGATATTGGACAGTTATTTGGAGAGGAAGAGTGTGTCAGGCGATAGGGTGAGATTGTACTCCAAGGAGATTTCAGTCAGAAAGACAAGGCCTCAATGATGGTCTATGATTTTGCGACCAGTAGAAAGCAAAGAGTAGGGGTAAATGGGTGTTTTTCTGGTTGGCAGTCAGTGGCTAGTGGTGTGCCTCAGGGATCAGTGTTGGGACCTCAATTGTTTACAATTTACATAGATGATTTGGAGTTGGGGACTAAGTGTCATGTGTCAAAATTTGCAGATGACACTAAGGTGAGTGGGAGAGCAAAGTGTGCAGAAGACACTGAAAGTCTGCGGAGGGATATAGATAGTCTAAGTGAGTGGGCAAAGGTCTGGCAGATGGAGTACAATGTTGGTAAGTGTGAGGTCATCCATTTTGATAGGAATAACAGCAAAACGGACTATGTTTTAAATGGTAAAAAATTGCAGCATGCTGCTGTGCAGAGGGACTTAGGTGTCCTTGTGCATGAATCACTAAAAGTAGGATTGCAGGTGCAGCAGGTAATTAAAAAGACAAATGGAATTTTGTCTGTCATTGCTAGAGGGATGGAGTTTAAAAACAGGGAGGTTATGCTGCAGCTGTATAGGGTCCTGGTGAGGCCACTCCTGGAGTACTGTGTGCAGTTTTGGTCTCCTTACTTGTGAAGGGATATACTAGCACTGGAGGGGGTGCAGAGGAGATTCACTCGGTTGATTCCAGAGTTGAGAGGGTTGGATTATGAGGAGAGACTGAGTAGACTGGGATTATACTCATTGGAATTCAGAAGAATGAGGGGAGATCTTATAGAAACATATAAGTTTATGAAGGGAATAGATAAGGTGGAGGCAGGGAGGTTGTTTCCGCTAGCAGGTGAAACTAGGACTAGAGGGCATCGCCTCAAAATAAAGGGAAGCAGATGTAGGACTGAGGTCAGGAGGAACTTCTTCACCCAAAGGGTTGTGAATCTGTGGAATTCCCTGCCCAGTGAAGCAGTTGAAGCTACCTCGCTGAATGTTTTTAAGGCAAGGTTAGATAAATTTTTGAACAGTAAAGAAATTAAGGGTTATGGTGAGTGGGCAGGTAAGTGGAGCTGAGTCTCAAAAAGATCAGCCATGATCTTATTAAATGGCAGGGCAGGCTCGAGGGGCCAGATGACCTACTCCTGCTCCTAGTTCTTATGTTCTTATGATCAAGGAGCTATATCTCTGAGGGGAATCCTCATGGAGGGGCTGCAGATTCTGAGGGAGATGGGCTGGATTGACAGAGTTAATGTCCCCTCTCCCTGCCTGAACTGAGCATCCCAGCCTGAGGGGAAGTGTGCACTCACAGAGGACCCAGAGGATTAGGAATCATTCAACCAAACTGAGAATAATCCCCTTCTGTCCCCAAGGGCTATAGGACTGTCCATCAGACAGGCGTATGAACAAAGAACAGTAGCAGGCCAATCAGCCTCACAGTTAGATCATGACTCATCCGACTTTAACCTCAACTCTACATTCCTACATAATCTATCCACAATCAAATTCTACACCCACCTCGCTCTGCAGAAGGACATGCTCAATCGATTCATATTTGTTTGGCTGATATCCATTGGCAGGGAATCATGGCACCCAGTGGAACTGGGAACGTGCAGTTCCATCCCAGGATGAGCCAAGTCTGACACACTGAACAGTCACCTCCTACTCTCATTTCCAATGCTCCTGGGGAGGGGTAGGAGGTGGTGGAATAGGGAAAGGGTTCAGTGCACAGGGTGCCCAAAGTGGTGGGCGAGCGAGTCAGAAACTCACATCACCTTTAAGTGGTATTTGGATATTCAATTGCATTGCCGTAGCCTCCGGGGTATGGGCCAAGTCTGGAAAATGGGAGGAATATAGTCAGATTTTTTTTTCTATTCATTTTTGTGGGATGTGGGTATCACTGGCTGGGCCCAGCATTTGTTGTCCATCCCTACTTGCCCCCTTGAGAAGGTGGTGGTGAGCTGCCTTCTTGAACCATCGCAGTCCATGTGCTGTGGGTTGAACACAATGTTATTAGGGAGGGAATTCCAGGATTTTGACCCAGTAACAGTGAAGGAACAGCGACATATTTTCAAGTCAAGATGGTGAGTGACTTGGAGGGGAACTTGCAGGGGGTGGTGTTCCCATATATCTGCTGCCCTTGTCTTTCTAGTTGGAAGTGGTCCTGGGTTTGGAAGGTGCTGTCTGAGGATCTTTGGTGAATTTCTGCAGTGTATCTTGTAGATAGTACACACTGCTGCTACTGAGCGTCGGTGGTGGAGGGAGTGGATGTTTGTGGATGTGGTGCCAATCAAGCGGCTGCTTTGTCCTGGATGGTATCAAGCTTCTTGAGTGTTGTTGGGGCTGCACCCATCCAGGCAAGTGGGAAGTGTTCCATCACACTCCTGATTTGTGCCTTGTAGATGGTGGACAGGCTTTGGGGAGTCAGGAGGTGAGTTACTCGCTGCAGTATTCCCAGTTTCTGGCCTGTTCTTGTAGCCACTGTGTTTATGTGGTGAGTCCAGTTGAGTTGATAACCCCCAGGATGTTGATAGTGGGGGATTCAGTGATGGTAACACCATTGAATGTCAAGGGGTGGTGGTTAGATTGTCTCTTATTGGTGATGGTCATAGCCTGCTGTTTGTGTGGTACAGATGTTATTTGCCACTTGTCAGCCCAAGCCTGGATATTGTCCAGATCTTGTTGCATTTGAACACGGACTGCTTCAGTATCTGAGGAGTCACGAATGGTGCTGAACATTGTGCGATCATCAGCGAACATCCCCACTTCTGACCTTATGATGAAGGGAAGGTCATTGATGAAGCAGCTGAAGATGGTTGGGCCTAGGACACTACCCTGAGGAACTCCTACAGAGATGTTCTGGAGCTGAGATGATTGACCCCCAACAACCATGACCATCTTCCTGTGTGTCAGGTATGACTCCAACCACCAGAGAGTTTGTCCCCGATACCCAATGATTCCAGTTTTGCTAGGGCTCCTTGATGCCACACTCGGTTGAATGCAGACTTGAAATCAAGTGCTGTCACTCTCACCTCACCCTCTGGAATTCAGCTCTTTTGTCCATGTTTGAACCAAGGCTGTAATGAGGTCAGGAGCTGAGTGGCCCTGGCGGAACCCAAACTGGGCGTCACTGAGCAGGTTATTGCTGAGCAGGTGCTGTTTGATAGCACTGTTACTGACACCTTCCATCACTTTACTGATGATCGAGAGGAGACTGATGGGGCAGTAATTGTCTGGGTTGTATTTGTCCTGCTTTTTGTGAACAGGACATACTCGGGCAATTTGCCACATTATCGGGTGCATACCAGTGTTGTAACTGTACTGGAAGAGCTTGGCTCAGGGAGCGGCTAGTTCTGGAACACAAGTCTTCAGTACTGTTGCCGGAATGTTGTCAGGGCCCGTAGTCTTTGCAATATCCAGTGTCTCCAACTGTTTCTTGATATCACATAGAGTGAATCAAATTAGCTGAAGACTGGTATCTGTGATGCTGGGGACCACTGGAGGAGGCCGAGATGGATCATCCACTCGGCACTTCTGGCTGAAGATTGCTGCGAAAGTTTCAGCCTTATCTTTTGCACTGATGTGCTGGGCTCTTCCATCATTGAGGATGGGGATATTTGTGGAGGCTCCTCCTCCAGTGAGTTGTTTAATTGTCCACCATCCTGGCTGTGGCCTAATGGCAATATCACTGGACTGTTAATCCAGAGACCCAGATAATGTTCTGGAGACCCGGCTTTGAATCCCGCCACAGCAGGTAATTTAAATTCAATTTAAAAAGTGTTTGGAATTAAGAGTCTGATGATGACCAGGAATCAATTGTCAGAAAATCCCATCTGGTTCATTAATGTCCTTTGGGGAAGGAAACTGCCATCCTTACCTGGTCTGGCCTACTTGTGACTCCAGACTAACAGCAATGTGGTTGGCTCTTAACTGCCCTCTGGGGCAATTAGGGATGGGTAATCCGTGAATGAATTAAAAAATGATGTTTGTTGAGCAGATACTGCGCTGGGCGAAGCTGGAGAAGGACAGATGGCCAGGATGTATCCCACTGGGAAACCAGCCGGGGGTTGGGGAGCGGCGCTCAGAAACCAGGAATACACAAGAACCATCGAGAAACTTTGACAAAAAGAAACATTCTGGGGTAGAGAGTTAGTGCAAAGGGAGACTGGTGGGGCAGTGGAGCAGGGAGAAGAGACGGGAACGATTGGAGATGGTGAAGTGGGGTAGTGACTTCAATCAATGCTCAGATTCTCCAGGGTGAGAGAATGAAGACATCCTAGTTATACACTCATTCACCCCTTCCATCGGGCTGAAGATATAAAAGTTTGAACACACGAGGAACAGATTCAAGAACAGCTTCTTCCCTGCTGTTATCAGACGTCCATACAGACCTCTCATTTATTGACAGTAAACAATGGCTGGAGATCACAGCAGGTCAGACAGCACCCATGGAGACAGCAAGCTAATGTGAAGTCTAGATGACTCTTCATCACAGCTGAGGTGAAGCGTGGTGGGGAGAGGGGGAGAAACATGTTAATTCTGATCTCTCGTGCTGTCTCTCCCCAACCCTCTCCCCACGCCTTCTCTGTTACTGTAACACTGTACTTTGTCCTGCTTCCCTGATGCACTTCGAATGGTACAATCAGCCTGTATAGTATGCAAAACAACACTTTTCACTATATCTCGGTACATGCGAGAACAACTTCCAAACAAACAGACAGCTGTGAATTGGATGCTGTGCTCCAGGAAAACATTGGAGCTATTTTATTGAGATAAACACACATCAAAAAAAAAAAGAAACCTGACAGAACAAGGAACCCAAGACAGACAGACGGAGAGAGAGGGTCTCTCAGCAGAGTTCTAGATCATTCCACAGCATTCAGCATGCAGTCAGAAACTCACTGCAAACTGCTCCCAATTGACCATTTACAAATTGTTTCAAGCACCTGACAAAAACACATTCTTGTCCCTCACACACAATAAAGAGCCAACAGTCAGCTTCTTGGCCCTGATTCCAGCCCAGTGACAGATGGTATCCATTCAGCCTGCTCTCCCTGCCTGTGCTGGGCCTGCTGAGTGCCACCCTGACAGACTGGGCAGATGGCAGGGTGCCTGTCAGTGCATACACGCTCGGCGCTGTGTAATCGGGGCTCTCAGAGGATCACCACACCGAAGGCAGCGGACAAATGCTAACCCTTCCTTCTTGGGGATGTGCCAACAGTTGGAGCAGCGAATGCGATATTTCTTGTACCTGTGGGAACATACAAACACGGAAATGAGGAATACTACCCGGCCATTTCTCCCAGAAGCTGCCTATCCTATCAATAACGCCACAGTGGATCTGTTTGTGTTTCCAATTCCACATCCCCATCAACAGCTACCCCTCCCCCCAACATCCCACACCTCCTCCTCCCCATGACCCTCGATTCTCTGCAAATTTTTCGGGTGCAGGTGGCGATGACCCCACCTCCACCCACTTCGGAAGCAGACACTTTCAAAGCCACATGTGAGTGTGAGAGCAAGAGACCAAACATGCCATCCCTGTCCTGAAAGGCTGACCCCACCAACCTCCACCATCCCCCGCCCCACACAACCACTCGCTCTGGACTCTTCACTCTTTCAAACTCCAGTCCATCCAAACTATCAATAAGACAACAGCAAGTAGGCCATTCGGCCCATCAAGTCCACGCTGCCAATTGTGGTTGATCTGCTAATCCTCAATTCCACTTTCCTGCCTGCTCCCAATTACCCTTGATGTCCTTACTGATTAAGAATACATCTCAACCTGGAATTTATTTAATGACCCAACCTCGAGAGCCATCTGTGGTAAAGAATTCCACAGGTTCACCGCCCTCTGGGCCAAGAAATTCCTCATCTCTGATAACTGCATGACCACTTACTCTGAGATAATGCCCTCTGGTCCTAGACTCTCTCCCCGGGGAAACAACCTCTCCACAGCTCCCCTGTCAAGTTCTGAGTGATCTGGTACATTAAGGATGCCCCTCATTCTATACTGAGCCTGTTTCCGGTGGAATACAATCATGTGACCCAGATAAGAAAAGCTCTCAGTAACCAAGTGTGAGTGCGAGTGCGAGCCCATATCCGTGTGAGAGTGAGAGTGAGAGTGTGAGTGTGAGAGTGAGAGTGAACATAGGGCCCTGTACCCCAGTGTGCTTGTGCCCCTGTGGTGGGAGTCTGGGCTAGCCCATGGGGCTGGGTGTGTGCGGTACCTGATTCCACACGCGTTACACAGTGGTGTCCCATCCTCTGCGTCTCTCCACAGTGGGGTTTTCCCAGTGCCACAGGATACACAGCTCTTCCCGTCTGTAACAGAAGCACATTGAAAATCTATCATCATTTGCCAGCAGTGGTGGGCCTGAGCTCAGCCCCCATCCTCTCCCTCTCCTTCCCCCTCCCTCTGCTGCTCTCCCTCCCCATATTGACCCTCCTCTGTCATGGCTCGCCATCTCTCTCTATCATTGCCCACCTTCAGCCACCCACCAACACCCCTTAACACACACACATGGAGACTTTAGAAATGGAGAATTATAGCGTCAAACTGTGGGGGAACAAAGAGAATTGGAGGCTGGGAGCAGATTCACATTGAAATCTCATACACAGAATCAGAAACTGTTGCTGAACTTTCAACACGGAGGATCCTAAAAACATGGAGCTTGATGTTTTGGCTGCAGCTTATTCGAGCCCAGGCTGGAGTCACTGTGAGCTGCTCGAGGCCCCACACCATCACAGAGAGTGAGACATGCCTTGGAGATCAGCATCAATTCACCAGAATAACTGCACCACTCAAAAGGGTTAAACAGCAGGGAGGGATTAAACAGAAACTCCTGCTGTGCTCACTGATATTTACAACATTCAACACACAAAGGCAAATTCAAATTGTAGGAGCAGACCATCAGGCGTGAAATGAGCAAATATGTACAAAGCCAGAAATCAACAACCACAAGAAGCTTGATACCATCCAGGACAAAGCAGCCATTTAACTGGCACCACATCCACAAGCATCCACTCCCTCCACCACCGACGCTCAGTCACAGCAGTGTGTACTATCTACAAGATGCACTGCAGAAATTCACCAGAGATCCTCAGGTAGCACCTTCCAAAGCCACGACCACTTCCATCCAGAAGGACAAGGGCAGTAGATACATGGGAACACCACCCTCTGCAAGATCCCCTCTGAACCACTCATCATCCTGACATGGAATTACATCACCGCTCCTTTACTGTCACTGGGTCAAAATCCTAGAATTCCCTCGTTAATGGCATTGTGGGTCAACCCACAGCACATGGACTTTTATTTATTTATTTATTTTGTGGGATGTGGGTATTGCTGACTGGGCCCAGCATTTATTGCCCATCCCTAGTTGCCCTTGAGAAGGTGGGGGTGAGCTGCCTTCTTGAATCACTGCAGTCCTCCTGCTGTAGGTTCACGCACAATACCCTGAGGGAGGGAATTCCAGGACTATGTACCAGACACAGTGAAGGAATGGTGATATATCTCCAAGTCAGGACGGGAAGTGACATGGAGGGGAACGTGGAGGTGGTGGTGTTCCCATGTATCTGCTGCCCTTGTCCTTCTAGATGGAAATGGTTGTGGGTTTGGAAGGTGCTGTCTGAGGATCTTTGGTGAATTTCTGCAGTGCATATGCCATAGTAAACAGGGACTACACTGATGCCTGCTCACCACTTCATGTGGGGAACTTGTGGAAGAGCCCAACTCTTATAGTTTAATCTTTCAGCCATCAAAAGTTGCATCATATAATGCTCCTGCAACCCCAGAGGCATTTCATTTCCTCCATCATCAGCTCTCAGAAGGAGAAAATGACAATAGGATCCCAGGTTGTGGGGAAGGTGGGTCCATGCAGGTTTTTCACAAGGAAACAGAAAACCAGGAACAGAACAGACTCAAGGGACTAAACAAGCTCCTCTTTCTGCTTCTGCTGCCTCCATCCCCAGGTCTTGTTCCCTCCATCACTCCCTCTCCCACATCATGGAGTCCCACTTACACACAGCATTAGGGGAGTCCTCCTCAGAGCTGCTGAATCTTGCCAAAGGATCCGGTTTCTTACGACGAGATCGGATCTTCAGGAGTTTCCGATGAAGTCCAGGGCTGAGGGACACAGAACCTTGGATTAGAGCAGAGTTGTGAAAATTGTGGAAAACATGCTTCTGGGGAGAGGAAGGGGCAGGGGTGGTGGGGCGGGGGAGGGGAGGGGTGCAGATTTTAAATTTTGTGTGGGATAATGAACCAAAGATGAGAAAACAGAAATTGTTGGAGAAACTCAGCAGGTCTGGCAGCATCCTGTGGAGAGAAAGCAGAGTTAATGTTTCAAGTCCAGTGACCTGTCTTCAGAACACTGCTCCCATGTATCTGCTGCCCTTGTCCTTCTAGATGGAAGTGGTCGTGGGTTTGGAAGGTGCTGCCTGAGGATCTTTGGTGAATTTCTGCAGTGTATCTTGTAGATGGTACACACTGCTGCTACTGAGCGTCGGTGGTGAGAGTGAAGACAGCCGTTCAGCCCATTGAGAGTGTATTGGTTCATTGAAGGAACCATCATGCTTTGCTCCCCATCCTGTTCCTGGGAATACCACTGTCTGCAAGTTCCTGTCCAAGCCACTTACCATCCTAACTTGGAAATATAATCGCTGTTCCATCACTGTATCTGGGACATAGTCACAGAATTCCCTCCCTAAGGGCATTGTGGGTCTTCCTACAGCACATGGACTGCAGTGGTTCAAGAAGGCAGCTCACCCCCACCTTCTCAAGGGGGCAATAAGGGATGGGCAATAAATGCTGGGTGCAACCAGTGATACCCATGTCTCGTAAAGTGAATTAATAAAAATTGACTTTTTGCCTGTAACTCTCTAAATTCCTCATCTTCAAATTCTTGCCCAATTTGCTTTAATAATATTTATTTTCTGAAATCAGCTTCCACTACCTTTTCAGATAAAGAGATCCAGATCCCAACAACGGAGTGGATAGATTTTTCTTTGTCTCCTCTCTTTTGGCAATAATTTCAAATCTCTTATCCTCAGTGATTGCCCCCCGTTAGCTGAGGAAATACTTTTTCTTGATCTACTTGAGCAAAATCTCTCATCTTGAGAGATAGCAAGAACTGCCGATGCTGGAGTCAGAGATAACACAGTGTGGAGCTGGATGAACACAGCAGGCCAGGCAGCATCAGAGGTGCAGGAAAGTTGACGTTTCAGGTCAGGACCCTTCTTCAGATTTTCCTGCTCCTCTGATGCTGCCTGGCCTGCTGTGTTCCTCCAGCTCTACGCTGTGTTATCTCTCATCTTGAAAACCTTGATGAGGTCACCTCTTCTCCCTCCTCTGCTTGCAGAAAAAAACAGGCCAAACCATCCTCTCCACAGAAATGAAATCCCTCTCTCTAGTAACACCCTGGTAAACCCCTCTGATCTTTATCTAAGTCCTTGACATCACCTGGAGAGTGGGGTCCAGTAAGAGGGCAAGGGATGCCCTGCTACAGACTCAGGTTGTGGGGCAGTCTCAGACGAGGAGCAGAAGGCCATTCACTTTCCCAAGCCTGCTCAATCATTCAAAACAATCATGAGTGATCTCATCACAGCCCGCTCTCCATAATCCTTCATCCCATTTCTACTTAAACATCAGAGTAAATTTAAGGAGAAGGCAGACACTGTCCCAGCATCCACCACACTCTACAGGTCACCCCACAAGAAAACATCCTTCCCCCAGCCCCAGCTTTGGGAAAGACCTTTATCATCACCTGTACGTCAGTGCGATCTGCCTTTAGGGGGTGGCGACGTACCCGTAGTGGGCAGTGCGATCTGCCCAAAGGGGGTGGGGACGTACCCGTAGTGGGCAGTGCGATCTGCCTTTAGGGGGTGGGGACGTACCATTAGTGGGCAGTGAGATCTGCCTTTAGGGAGTG